CTTTCCCTTTGTTAATTAGGCCTGAACTCATATTATATATAGCTCAGGCTTCATCGTGCATTTTTTTCTCTCCATATTTTGGTTTTCTTCTCTTTCTTTTCACAGTCCTAATTATATAAATGCACTATTAGTATCATAGTGTTAATATGTAGTATTTTGTCCCTCCATCAGGTAAAAAAGCTGAACACTATGGTAGCAGAGAAGAAGGCAAGCCTAGCTCCTGTTATCAAAGAACTGAGACAGTTGCGTCAAAAGTGCCAGGTTAGTAGAAACACTTATTCTATGTGAATAAAGTCAGAATCACAAATAAGCCTAATTTATAGCTCTCTGTAGTACTGTACGAGGATATAACTCTTAAGGAAAGCTGGAAATAGCAGAATAGGTCAACAGTGATTTGCAACAGGCAACATGTAGAAAACTGGAATTCATAAAAGCTGACAGCGTAGGCGCAAAATCAGGCTGAAAATGTTGTTCTTTATAGCAGTTAAAAAAAATTACTACACCGGGGGGAAAATCACAGTTCAAAATCATAGGAAAATCAGTTTTCAAATTGGTTTCAAAGCTTTTTCTGCATCTTGGCACTAATGATCTCAACTAACACTCTCCTTTTTAAATGGATTGCAAATAATGTCTCACCCAAATATTTGAATACATTGATCTAAGTCCTATATTAGTCTGCAGCAGTGACAGATTTATCCATTTGTTTTCAGAATTTTATAGAGAGCTGACAAAAAAGTCATTCAGGTCCACAGCTGCTATAAGTTGGCTCATTGCCATAGAAGTAAATAGAGCTATCCATTTATCTATCAACCGAATTTCCAGAACACTTACTTTTAATGGTTGTATTAAAAGTGTCGGCAAATGAAATCCAGCTAAGGCATTTGTTGCGTACAACTACAAAGCTGGCTCTTCATAGGTAGCAAGTATATTAATCCTTTCTTAATCTCTATTTTTAGAACTGTTTTTCCTTTCTTCTTGCAAACATTGCTGTGTTAACCTAACGCGTTAAAGCTGTGGATGTGGCTGTAAAGAGGAAATTTGCATGCTATGTTGTGGTGCACAGAGCTGACCCTGCAGCATGCAAGTGGAGGCCAGTGGCTTCCCCGTGTGTAATAATACCCGTGCGCCCGCTCGGTTTATGTAAGTGTCTGTGAGTGTGCCAATAGCTGAGGTTGATGTGTGAGACCGACAAGAACACCGTCTGCCTGAACGTCACATGTCAGTCAATTGAAGATGTCATTTATGTACCCTTTTGCCCTCTTTGTATAAGGAATTAACTCAAGAATGTGATGAAAAAAAAATCCAATACGACAGCTGTGCAGCGGGGTTAGAGAGCAATCGCTCTACACTGGAACAGGTAAGATGGTGATTTGTTCCTGCATATTAATAAAAGCTGTGCAACATGTTACTCACTAAGGTACAATATTTTCCCTGCCTTCCCGCTGGATGTGGAAAGTACAAATCCACTTCAGGTGGAAATGAGTCAATGGTGAACCACAACTATGCAAATCATGCCTGAAGCTGCTGTGGGCGAGCTACGGTCGCACACATCTCCTGTTATGGAAAGCAGCAACTGAACTCAGCGGTACATCAGTCTATCCACCAACATCCAGCTTCAATTAGCAAGGATGTCGTAAAAGAAGATGCATCTGCCAGAAATCCTGCTGACCTACATAGTATCTGTTAGGAAAGAATTTGACCATAAAATAAGGATTAATTTATCAAGACAAATCTTTATATGCATTTACTAGATTCATTAAATTAGCAACCAATCCAATGGATAATTAGCACCCTGAAATTCATGGCAAGGATACTTCATTAAACGTGATCATCTTGTATTCTTGCATACAACAGTTTTTTTAAAAATGCAACCATGTAGGTATAGCTGAGAGCTTGTGTGTACGCATTACTCGAACTATAGCACTTTTATGAAGGGAGGTACTTAAACCAGCGCGATTCTTTAAGGTGTGGACAGTATTAATATGTTTATATGAATCTGCTTTATCTCGCTAGATCGCCATCTGTGAATTTTTTCTGGATTTGATTTTTCAAGGCCTTGCCCATATAAGGAATATATTTCAAAATAAAAAAGGTATACATTTAAAGTGTGGGTGGATATATAGATAATTCTTTTCCTGCACTAAAAGTACCTTTGTATGGCTTAATCTAAGCAAAATAAAAGAATGCACAGATGCACCTACTATGAAGCAGACCTTCCATAAGAACTATTTTACAATAGCAATGAAGGCTTTTTTCATGGCAGACAAATCTTAGTCATTTTCTAACACATGATGACAATCACATCCACAGATTAAGCTGGACATGACTGTCAGCAAACCCTTGCAGTCGAACAGTAGAATTCAGCTTTCCAGCTGATGGTCTGAAAATCACATGGTGACAGAGCTTTTGAGTTAAGAACTGCTGTGTGACGCAGAGTACATGAATTCTGTTTGGATTATTAGGTTTTTTTGGTGTGGACCATCTAGAGATGGGAGTAACCCACTATCTCCATACCCCTCAATATAATTGTTGAGAGCTAATTAACATACTATTAACATGTCTGTAGCTTCTAGCATACATTTTGCAGATGTGTTCCAGGAAATGCTTATTCACAACTGTAGTTAGCACTTAAGATGTGCTTAGGAACAAGAGTCTTGGCAGAGCTTGTGAAGTGTCCATTGGAAGTCAGTCATATTAGTAAACACCTATTAACAATCATTTAGCATCTCTAACTGTGACTGAAACTGCAAATCTAAAAAAATCAATTGCCTTTCAATTTAAATTTTGGGCTTTACAGAAGTCTTTTTTTATAAACATTTAAGAAATTATCAATTCAGTATTATGCCCATTTCTATTACGGACTCTCATGGTTTATACAGCAACACGGGGCATCTCCCGTGGGCTTCCAGTTATGATGTCCTTTGAAATCTTATTCTTGCACTACAGGAAGTGAAAGGACTTCTGGAGGAGTGTGTTCAGGAAGAAAACAACTACCGTTATATTAACTGCATGAAAAGGGTAAGGTCACAAGAGGCACCAAATTATTAATTGTGAAATGAAGTAGGAATTCTAATTTATTATTTTTTAATTATGTATTTCTTTACAGAATCTAGAAATACAGCTGCAGCGTGCTAAAGAAGAAATGAAGGCATACGTCTCCGCAGACCCACAGGAGAGACGAAAGGCAATTCGGTAAGTATATTAATGTGATAGGGTATTCATAAACTATTCATAAACGAAGGTTGAAGTTAGGAATTTTCTCACTGGCATTTGAACTGGAGGAGTTTACCTGATAAATTTAGAAACACTATAATAATCTAAAAATAAGCATCGCGAATTCCAGTATATACTGCTGTAAACCTACAAGTTCTCTCAGACATACCAAAAGATTTTCCCTTCCTGCCGGAGATTATAGGCCCCAGATAGCGGTTTTAACTTGCAGCCCCTCTTGGCACAAGCTCAGAGAAGCTGTGCTTCAGCGAGGTCCTGCAGGAAGCGTGCCTCTACCAGACGTAACGCCTTGGCCAAGTTTCCCCCGAGACTCCAGCATGCAGGAGTAGGTCTACCACCTCTCAGAGAGCAACCATATGCTGCCCTCAGATTCTGGCCATTTCTTGGAAATCTTCTTCCAGGTATAATAGCTGTCACCATCGCTGGTAGAGTAATGGAGGAGTGTGTGTACTCATCCTAAATGGATTTTGGGTTCCTCCTATGCAGTTCTTACTGGAGGTAGAATGAATACTGTTCTGCACCATCACACTAACCTTCATCTCTACACTCAATTTAATTTACTTCAATATAAAGAAAGTTGCTTCATCCTGTGAGTTTTTTCAGGATGCCTTGCCTTTGCCTGGTAGGGAGAGAAGCAGAAAAAGGTTATCGATTGAGCTGATGATTTTTTTTTTGGGTGTAGTTTTCCATTTTAAATGATGCAGTCCTGCCCAAGATTGAAATGTTTTCTGAGAATGAGATATTTTGGATTAATTATCTGTGCTAAGAAGTCTAAACATTATCATGACATACAGATTTTTTTGTGCTGTACTACATACAAAATATTTTTGTAGAAGTATCCAGTTTAAAATTTTATATATTTTCAATCTTTTAATACAGTCCACAAGTTGAAACATTCAGGCAATAGAGTCAACAAGCTGGTTCAGCCCCATCAAAATTAAATACCAGGAAAATCCAAACCAAAACATTTGTAACTTTAATTTATAAATTTAAACAAAACATTTTATAACTTTGTATTTACTTTTTCAAAATTCCAGAATTTTGCATAAAATAGAAATTCCACTTGCCAGCTAGTTTCATCTTTGACCCCCAAAAAATTAGCTGTCAACAAAATAAACAAACTTAAATTGTTGTCACTAGTTTTACAAATTGGTCTTTGGCTTTCTCACCATAGTATTTCTCAGTCATGAAAGTATTTATCAAAACAGTAGCTTCAAAGTTCGTGTTTGCTGGATTTGATCAAGGGTATTTTTGTTTAATTTTTTTAATGAGTGGAATGAGTGAAAAACACTCTGATGTTTTGAAAGCAGCATTGGGTCTCCTTAAAGGTGTAGTCATTACTGTACCAAGCAATCTCCATGGAGTATATAATTTTTAGTTCAGAGCAGAGGAGGCATCAGCTCTGCCTTGTACCTCTCCATCTCACAGTCTGCATCAATCTGCATTCCCACAGTTTGCTGTATTTCTTAGACTTTTAAAAGTCATAGCAAGAGAGTTCCTTGATGTGAGGCATTTTCTTAGATTTCTGCATTTGTATTTCAGAGACAGGACAGATTGTTGCTCGAGATCTGTGTAATCTGTCATGTCAGAGCTTTGGTTCCTGTACAGTCTTCTGTACAATGTGCCAAAATGCTTCACAGTGTTGTCCCATTCACAGAACAATTTAAAAACATGACTGAGTGGCAAAGCAAAGATAAACTGCTTAATTAGATAATTAACAATAATTCTACATTCCATTTGAAAGCTTCAGACCATCCAACATGCTGACATCACAACGGGAAAAGAGAAACAGTAGTCGTCTGTCACTTCTCAAAGGAGATGGAAGAATAAATTAATTTCCCAAGATATCTGTCCTCTTAGGACCTTTCAGAATAATTTCTGGACCTTTCTGTTGTAGTGGTGGCAACAAGGGAAGTTAGTTGGTAGTATACGTAATCAAATGTCGTTTGGATTCACAAGAGGCAGTTTCTTCACTCATTGTGAAGTGGAGTGAAAAAAGGCAGTAGCTGACCACTAAGATTTTATGTGCTCTGGAATGGGGCCATTGAGAGGGATAGTGATGTGTCAAACTGAGTGAGAAAACTCCAAGCATTCCCTCAGGAGACACTGAGAGATGAGGTCTTCTTCCTCCATCAGATCCTTCATGAACTAGAAGTTGCCCCAAGGCACGTTGCGCTGGTGTCAGTGGAGCTGCATCTCCTGCGGTTCTAGAACATGAGGCAGAGGTCACTAGGACGTGAAGGGCTGGATTAATACCTGTCACAGAGACCTCCTGCCAGGATCTAAGGCATGAATATATTTAAACACTATGTAGCAAACAATGTAGGAAAAATAAGAGTAAGAAAAGAATCAAAACTACTAATGCTAGGGTGGGAGAAGAAAAGGATGAGGAAATAGAATGTGAGTGGAGGCTAAGAAGCCTCTTATTCCATCTCACAAATAATGGAAGGCTGTAGAAAATAGAAGATTTGTCTAATGAAAGACGATGAAACAGCAAAATTAAGCAGCAGGATGAAAAGAGAAGTGGCTGTGAGAAAAATCTTAGTGATGATGTGAATATTCATTAGTATGAAAGGCAAGACAGCTCAGCCGAGCAGCTGAGAGGAAATGCGGGTCAGACAGCAGGCGCTGTCCTTTTATGGCCTCCCAGGGAAGGGGAGGGTCTGAGCTTGTTCACAGATGCTCAGCAAAAAATGCTCCAACTCAAATACTTGGGAAATGAACATCCACAATACCAGCGTTCACATAGACGGGCCATCAAAGCCAAATGCTGGAATTAAGCGGGAGTCCAGCTATGTAATTCCAGGTATGGTGAGGAGAATGTGAACGCAGCATTACCACTCTCTGCTGTCCCTGTTTCACTTGCTAACTGTGGGCACAGAAGGTAGGGAAATTATCCTTCCCGCGGTGACTATACACATTTTTAACCTTCTGTTAGGAGGTCACAGACCAGTCGCATTTAAATGAATTACAACCAAGTACAATATAGAGATCTTTGCAAAATATAAAATTAGAGGATAAAATTTTTTTGTAGACATCCTTTTAGAATGTGAATGTATTTTTCAGCAGTCGCTGGAATGTAAACGGAGTAAAAATGAACCATAAATAGAACAGCACTTTCCTAACAACGTATTGAACAAAAAATGTCTTAATTCCGACCCTCTTTATTGAATATAAACTCTCTGTTCCGTGGAGTCACTTCTTAGGAATGTGAAAAGTTAATTTTCTTCTCTAAAAATAGAAAGTTGTGGGTTTTTTAATGAAGTTATTAAGTTGCATTCTTTCCAGTCATCATTATAAATAGTAAAGAAAAACTTACTAGGGAAGACATTTAATCTTCTGATGATTACTTCGAAAACTCTACTTAACAAAAAAAAGTATGTTCTTAAGGCCAAATGTGTGTGAACGTATGCTGTGTGCCAGTGGAAATAAGATTCTCTGTGGCTTTCCATCTCCTTGGTGAGGATTGCTCGGGATCAGCTGTGCAGCACAGCGCTTGGAGCAGCCTCAAGACGGCTCTGATTTGTTCTGGTTAGAATTGCCCCAGAGTGAGAGACGATAAAATGATCCAGCTTCATTCCTGGCCCGTCCATTCTGCAGGGAGTGTGGCAGGCAGGACCAGGTGGCCAGGGGCCCAAGTCGAAAGCCTGGAGTACTTAGCAGACATGGAAGGAATACAAGAAACACAATTCTACACGGCTGCTCACCATGCTTTAGCAAATCGTCACACTTTGGCTGATGATACCAAAAGTGTGACGAAGGCTGATACCTCTTTCTGGAAATTAGGATTTCTTTATGCAATGTTCTCCTACCTGAGTAATTTGGAAAGTTCTTTAGATGAACTGCGCTATTTTGTATTCCACTAACAAACTTTCAACCTCTAAGTGTACCTGTTGCACACAAAATATAATGATTTTTTTTTTTTCAAGTGAATCGGTGAAAAGATTTTTTTTTTTTTTATTGTCACAATCAAAAAAAAATTTAAGATAAGTACATACTAATGTATCTGAATCCTGCTGTTATGCTTTGCATATTATATTGTCAGGTTTCATGTATCAAGTTTGCATATGTCAGAAAGTGATCCAGCCACTTGTTACAGACAAAGGTGTACAGCCAAGATTTTTAATAATGAATGTCAACAGTTACGCTTCTAAGCCTATATTTAGGCACCTAAATGTGACGGCTGTTTTCTGAAAGTGAGGAATGCACAGTGGTTCCATTGCAGTCACTGGATTCGTTAAACCTGGGGTGAAATACTATTCCCCTTCATTCCTGTCTTTTCCCACCCATTCTAACGCTACATTCACAGCAATTACGGGCTGTGGATTTGTAAACTCTGACGCGTGTACAAATGAGGCCACTGGCTAACCTCGGAATACCACCAGGATAAATGCATTATTAAAAAGGCGTCAAGTATGTCTTACCTTAAATGATCTTGCTGTTGTCTTCAAGCTGGAAGGAGCAGTAATCATGCCTGCTTCAAAAATGTAAGAAAACTGATCCGATATCACTTTTCCCAACTACACAACGGAGAGAATCAGAGAGATCTGATCCTCGATGTCAATGACAAAAAGGTTTCTTCATGCTTCCTTTTTGATCTCATTTATGAACCTCCCAGTACTTGCATAATTTTTCATGTTTGCATCATTATTCTATTATTCTGTTACATTAACACATCTATTACTCTATTACATAGAACTGAATAAAATCATCATAAAATTATTTTATATTTCCTTTAGAGAACAGTATACACGAATGATCCTTGAACAAGAAAACCTTGGGAAGGTAAGAATGAGGTTTTCACCTTGTAAAAACATTGCACAGTTCATATTTTTGTGGGGCTTATTACCAAAGGCTGTGGTCAGTCTTTTATAAAAAGCACATTGCAGCCTACAAAGAAAATTCCATTACTGCTGGCATTGGTAACTAATACCCTGAAAAGAGATCATGCTTGCTCTTCAGGGCTTGATTTCCTGCAGAGTGTAGCATGAGCCGCTTGTAAAAGATAGTCAAACAGCTTAATGTGACAGCACATTCCCTGAAAACCATTTGGATAAGAAACTGAAACATGGGCATAACAAACTGTGCCAGCTCAAATTTTATGTTGTATATAAAGCAACCTGTTGAAGACAATAAATTTTGAGCCTGTCAGCCTTATCGCTGTTATTAAAGGCCAGGGGATCATCAGCACAGCAGTGTTAAACAAAAGCAGTTGTCCATTTTTAATCTTGTATGAAGCTCAGATCAGCATGGCTGAGGTTAGGCTTACCAACTCACGCTAAACATCTTTCTTTTATTAGTTTCCTTTTTATGAGTGAGTCTGTGAGTGATTTCTACAGGTTTGGGCTGCCGTTATTAATAATCAGTAGTGGGTTTCATTGTAAAACATCAATTTCATGTTTATAATATCATGATATGAATCCATTGCAGCTTGACACTGCAAGAGCTCTATGGAAATGAACTCAGAATTTTAGCATAACTTCTCAAATAGACAAGACTATTATTTAGACAGTTTTAAAACGTTGAAACCATTGTAGATCCATAAAAAAGCAGATATCTGAGTCCCAGGTGTTAACGCATTTATCACTTGCAAGGAGTGATAATAATATTTCAGTAGCATATAAAAACCTTTGTCATTCCAAGCTGCTTAGCTAAGCAATTTTTGTGGCGCACAACTGTTCCAAAAATCTAATGTTTTTGTATTTTTAACAGAAATTACGAGAAAAGCAGAAAGTTGTACGGGAAAGTCACGGGCCAAATATGAAGCAAATTAAAATGTGGCAGGATTTTGAGCAGTTAATGGAATGTAAGAGAGAATGTTTTCTGAAACAACAAAATCACACAGCCATTGGTCAAGTCATTCAGGAAGGAGGTAAAGATAGGCTGGTGTTATGAATTCTTTCTTCTACCAACATGAAGTAGGAAGACTGTGTTGGCTTCCTAAAGGTAACCTCGTACTAAATATCGTTGCTTTCATCATTTCTACATGTATTTGTTGTACATCATTTGTTTTTGGCGAATAAACAAAAAGCAACTAACCACTCTACAAAGCTTTTCCTCCATCGTTTCAGTGACATAACATGGTTAGGAAGATCAGTTATCAAGAGCTGCACTAGGGTGAACCTCGTCGTAAATCTTTTGGTTTATGAGGCTGGGAATGGCATGCATCTGCAGAGAGATCAAAGGAAAAGAAATCCTTCTCCAGGGTCACAGAAAACTTGGGTAATTGCTGTGTTCCTTATTCTGTATCACTAAGGTTACGTTTTTGCAAGGCCTGGGACTTGATATTGTGTAATTGTGACCCTCCTGGCTTGGCCCTCTCCTTCCCTATTGTCTTTATTCATCTAGTGTGACTGGCAAGAATGGAGCCATTTTCGCTCTGAGCTGCGCAGACCTTGCCTGCACACTCCTAGTCATACTTTCCTTGCACGGTTGAATTAAACTGATTGTGCTTCCAGGAGACAGTTCATTGCTACAGCGTCGGGAATAGGTTCTGAGAACAATTACTTGGACACTGAGATTTTTCCGTTATCTTTTTGTTGTTGTTTTTAACAAATGTATTTTCCTTATACCTTCTTCTATTTCTTCTGAGTTGCCCATGAGAAAGTGTAAACGGTGGTCGACTAAAAGCTTTCTCCACTGAGGACATTTTGTGCTGTTTTGTCTCTGCAGCAGGTTCCAAAGTGATTACACTACCCAAAGAGGGTCGTCCCAGGGATGGAGGGATATTGATGGATGTAAACATGGCAGAGTGGCTCTTGCATATGTTGGGGTGTGCAAAACAGGGAGACAGGCAAGGCTGCCCTGTACTCCGGCTTTGACCTGTGAGCTACAGGCAACTGTCACTGCCCTTAAAATTGCATCATGAGACCCAGGGTAGAGGAATGTAGGTGAGGCTCGAAACTGTCCCCCACACTTCATCATCTCGGATGAGCGCCTCTTAGCCACAAACGAAGATCAGAAGCAGAGAGATAAGTCTGCGGGAGCAGAACTCCTGCTGTTCTTCTTTAGTCTCTTGGCTTGTTGAATTTCTAGATAGGTTTGGGTTTTTTTAGCTTTTCCTGCCTGAGGTAAAATGTCTTTTCAGGACATAAAAAATAATTTCGTTTTCTCTGGTGCCGAACTATGAGATCTTCTGCTGTTTTCTATATCAAGAAAGAGTATGGTAATTATATAGTTCCTAGTTTGCCTTTGCATTAAATATATTTGTTAACAGAACTAAAATAAAATCTGATGACTACATTTTGACTGTACGTTTGGGCTTTTTTTACATTTCTTAAGTGAAAAAAGGTAAATTATTAGTGACAAGCAGCTTGCTGGGCCACAGGCAAAAGAGGTTTGAATGGGTCATTTAATGACGTTTATTTCAGATGCCCCCAAAGGGTTCAAAACCGCCCCGTATGTGTAAGGAGTGGGTCTCAGATCCACAGATTCCCAGGACATCCTCATGTAAGCCCTCCCACACTGCTGAATAGCTGAAGATAGTCTTTCTCAACAGCTGCACGCTAATCTTTCCCAGGACAAGGAGAAGCAGCACATTTTGCCCTACGCACATTTTCAGGGAGGGTGGAAGGAAGGCTGTTGTGTAGGACACAGGCACAGGTAGATTTGGCTGGGGTGGGGACATGGTGCAGCATTGCCACCACCCGCTGCATCCATGAGTTGATCAGACGGCAGGAGAATAGGCTTCAGTAAGGCACTGGAGGGAGACCACAAGGATCGGGAAGGGAGAAGCTCAGGAAAAGGATGTGTGCAGACTATATAGTGTGGGCACAGCCATCTCCAGAGACACCTCTACATTTTCTCCCTGCTAGCCCTGTACCATTATTACTGTACTTCACCTGCGTTGTACTGTAGGGCCTGTTGATCTGAGGAAAGTTACGGTAGTCATATACTTGGGCTCTTAAAGGAGGCGTATGCTGAATACTTGCCAGCAATAGTAAAATAACACAGACAACTAGATATGAGATGCGCTGAAAACATGGGATAATCACCAAAAATGGGCATTTAGGTTCCTTAGGAATCAGCCTATGGTTCAGAGTCACCAGACAGAGCAGGGAGAAAGGCGATTTTATATATGTCAAGTCAAAACTTTTAACAAAACCCAAACCCCCGTATTTGACTAGACCATTTATGCAAAGATGTGTCATACGGATTAGCCTGCTGCCCAGGAAAAAGCAATGCTTTTGAAATTCATAGCAATGATGTAGAGTAAGATTGAGTGTAATCATTTTCTGTTTTTCTCTTCAGAGTTGCCCTAAAAATAGTTCATCTTTCTTCCTTGTAAAAACAGTTTATTGCTAGTTACTCAAAGATGACGTGATTGTTGTTCTGATCTGATTAGTGTTCTGTCATTTGTACTGCACCAAGAAAGGGCACACAGATTATACACTACAGCAGCAGCAAAATGACTTTCTGAGATGAAGCAGAAAATCATAATAACTGTTATGAAAAGAAAATTGGAAAAACTCAAACGCTATTTTTAGCTTTTTATATAAGTGGACATTTAATAAATGCAACTTTAATGGATTCTGTTCACTGGCTTTTCCACCTAGTTCATGATTTGATGGGAGTGTTCAAAACTCTTGACTGAATTTCACATTTATATCTTTACTTCCTAACTTGCAACAAAGAGCTTACTTCCAGTTTTTTTTGTTATTATTAATAGCCTACTTGGTTAACTAATAAGATTAAACATGCCATATGGAAAAATCCCTGCCTTTTCCTTGTGAAGGTCCAAATCAATAAAAAACGTGCATAGTTAAATTTGGGGCCTCAGCACTTACCAGATTTCTTCCAGTTGGAACACGGATCCAACCAGTCACTCACGAGCAGTGGTTTCAAAAAGGCTTCACCATATCTTTACCCGGGACTGGATGAGGAAGCATTCCAGCTACAAAACTACTACAGTATTCTGTAGTTTCGCATTAGTCATGTTGACTTCAGCTGTCCTTAGAGCTACAGGCAAGTTCTGTATGGACCTAAGAGACGAAATAATTCCAGGCATCAGAAATAGGCATCAGAAAACATTCTGTACATCTACCGAGTTATATGACCAGCCATTTTACCATCTGGATATCAGATTATTTTGTTAGTGGTACCATATTATTTTATTAGTGGTACCATTTTACTTCCATTTGAATTATAATAAATAAAAGAAACGTTCTTAGGCTTCCTTAAGTAACCTATTTGTGTATCTTTACTCAAATGAATATTACTCCTAATGAGGTTGTATGCATATAGTCGCCCAGAATCATAAAAGTTAGGCCCTGCTATTGTCTTTATTATGTTTAAATATACAGATTTCCAGAGCTTTCTTGATAAGACTTCCCTACAGTATGATGCTGCTCACTGTTATAAAATACACTACAGCAGAAGTATTTAGCAACAGTTCAGTGCCTACAAAATGTCCTCATGATGAGGATGTTCTGATTAATAAGCATGGATATTATAGTATGCAATAAGCAATATAAAATCTGTTGTCTGAGTGACGTGCTGGTTCGGGAACTGGAAATAAAGTACAGAGCTGCTTCTCCTTAGATCAGTATTTCATGTCTGGCCCAGATGGGCAGCAACTGAAAGCTCCCTGCTAACTACCTGGTGGCTGCCCTCAGCCAGGGATCTATGCAGAGCCATTTGGCAGTATCAGTCCGATTCCTAAATCACCACTCTGGCGGCGTTTGGCGAGCCTGGAGCCAGCTTCCACATGAAGGCAGACAGATGTATGACTGAAAGACCACGGAGAGTGAAAGTGCTGTCACCCGAAAGGTGTCCTCCTGGGAGAAAGGTCATGACACATTGACACAGTGGAGTGTGGGAAGCTGTTACTCCGTCCTCTTGCCTGTGGATGAGGAGCGCGCTGATGCTTGCCGATCTGGTTTCTCTCATTGGCCCTGCGTTTGCTCAGACTTAAGTGAAAAAATGAAAGAACTCAATCTGAACGTGTGCCCTGTGGGTGTTAACTCTTCAGCTGCTTTTCTCTACTGCAATCTGTAATGGAAACAGAACTGAAGTTTTCATGGACATGCCAGTGTTCCAGTGAGGAAGTATTACACGAATCAACAATTTTATCAGAAAGTACCACCTGTCTGGGCAACACCCAATTGGGTTGCTGTTTTTTAACAATGAGAATTTGACCTATTTCCAAGTTCTTTAAAGAGTTCTTTAAATTCTCGGCATGAATTTGAGTTCTCCAAATTCTCGGTGTTGCTGTTTCTGTAGTGTTAGTTCCACAATAGCAGTCTCCAAACTCCCAAGGCAATCCGTTTTATTCCAAGGTCATTGGGTGAAAAGGGTATTTTTCACAATTGCATTACACTGATTTGCATGATTCTAGTTTACAGGCAAAAAAAACCCGCTGTAAGCCACTGTGCCGCAGTGATGTCAGACTCGGTGAGGAGCTTTGCTGTTTGAGGGGGGCAGCAAACATATTCCAAATAATCAGAAGGAACTGTGAGACAAATCATGCAGTCCTTACTTTCACAAAACCCTCACTGACTTCAGTGGGAGTTTTGCCAAAATAAGGTCTGCTGGATTTAGCTCTGTATTCTTCCTCCTGACAGAACAAGCAGGAATTAAAGGGCCGGCATCAGATTTATAAGACACAGAGAATAAAAAAGAACTGTAATTATCTAAAATAACAACTTTCATCCAACACAAATCAATGTTCCTGTAGACGCATTCTAATTTATAACAAAAAATTAAATGTTTGTGGAAGTTTTTCTCAGCACAAACAACCAAAATACACATGTCCTTAGTGATACGGTTTGATTTTTATTAGACATCTAGGAGAGGCTGTCTTGCTCAAATGTAGTGCCCGAGTATTTATAGTGTTTATCATTAAACTACAACTTTATGCATTGCCTTGTATTTAAGGGCATTATTTATATCTATTATTTTTAAAAGTATATTTTTACCTTTTTTGAATTTGCATTCTTCATAGTTGGAAAAAAGTATGGTTTTGCAAATTAGGATACACACAACCAACGTTTGCTGAATGCCAAGAACAAGAGTTCTTTTCCTGCAAATACATCCACACAAGCCAATGTCTATTATAGTGTTTCAGTTCAGACTGTCAGTACAGAATAGCATGTCATTTTTAGGCTGCTACATTTTATTGCAACTGCTCAAGTTTTAAAACCACTCATTTATACAATAAGCACTTAATTAGGTCTACTCTTTAAAAAGGATAAAGCCAAATCCTGCACATTTTGCTAATACCGGAAAAATGCAGTTAATAGGAGTATGGAAAATGGGATCTTACCAATTTTCAAAGATAAATTCCTTTCTCTCTCCCTACTTCTTTTCCCTGGAATAGAACAGGAAATATGCCTGGCACTTAGGGAGCAACAACAACAAAACCATAAAGGCATACATCACATACAAATAATAACCATGTAAGGGAAATCATTTGAAGGAATTAATCTCACAATTTCTTTATAAATTTTACAACTGGTTCATACTGGGGAAAAAAAAAACAAAAATCTTAAGTATTTCTGCAATTAAAATTTGTCGGGGTTTAATGCCTTTTTTTTTACTGGATTACTGTTTTTTAAATAGCAGTTGAAACTCTAAGGTTATAAGATATGAATAATTCAGCAGTTTACTTCGTTTACACTATTGCAGCATTTTCTGGCAAGTAAACTAGTGTCTAGGCATTTCTTTGCAGTTATCACAGAAATCTCAGAGCCATCAGTGAAGAATTACCAAAAGCAAAAATGGCCGATTAATTTGGGATTATAAAAATTGGAGATTTAAAAATTAAAAATCACATGAAAATGATGCATTTTGCTTATCAACTGCTATTTAAATGATGCAGTGCTCTAAAACAGCATTCTGTGGACTGCAACATTCCAAAACTTTGAGGTTTTAAAAGTATTTATAAAACATTGTACCCATCTCCCTTATTCTGTGCTTTAAAGATTGGCCATGTTTTTATAGCATATTAAAAGGCAAACAGAACTGTATCAGAACATTGAAAGTCACCCACAGACAACCTGTTCCACTAATGATTTACATTCATATTGCATCTTTTGTCCTGAAGGATTTCTCTACTTCATTTTTGTTTTACATAGGCTGATTCGAGTGCTCAGGTATCTGCATGAGTGAGCCAGGCAACAGTGAGAGATCTAGTTAATGCTCATGGGACAGTAATGAAAATTGGGCATTTATTATTTCATGGGCAATGACAACATCATCTCAAAATTAAGGAAAATATCTCCTACAGCTAATAACTAGAA